AAATAAGAACCAAGATACATCATGTAAAGGTACAAGATCCCAATGATGAATGTAACTGTATTTTGTATCTAAAATGTACCAATAAACTTAATGGGAAAAAAAAAAGACTAAGAAGACATGGCAGCAAAAAAAAAAAAAAGAAAAAGAAAAAGTGATGGTTAAGAAATTTTATTACCTATTGCAGAAGCTACAAAAATATAAGCACACTGTTCTCTTAAAGTCAGCCTTGAAGTGTTGCTCACCAGGTACACTGCTCTTTGGAAGAAGGTAGTGGTCTCCAGGATTTTGTGCATTGTGATGGTTTCCAACTCATCAGGATCTAGCTGTTCCTTTGCAAAGGGCATTCCGTTGAACAGAACGACAGGCAGCGGACCAATGCCAGTCTGCTCATAGTAGCCTCTTGCTTCCTAGAAAACAACAGACCACAAAACAGCACGTTTTTGCCCCTCATAGCACAAATGGAACAAAGAATATTTTTCTTAGGTGCCTGTACTAAGAACAAAAAAATCACAACAATATGGTAAAGAAATAACTAATGATATTCCTAAAAACAGTGACATCACAGTTAATATTCTACTGAGTAAATTTAAGATTGAATTACTGAGGTGTTTTTGTAAAACCAGAAAAACTTTGCAAATTAGGAAGTGTGTGTACATTTGAGTATATGTGTGTTGTCCAGATTGCTAAAACTGAACTATATGAATGTACTATGGTCAGCACTGTAAATAGCACTCTCTGCAATGACAGAAATATTGTCTAAGTTGTCTAACTCAGCAGTCATTAACATGTGGCAACTGTGCATTTAAAATCTAGCTACTGTGACTAAGTAACTAAATCTGTACTTAGTCAATTTTAGTTAATTTCCAATTAAATGACCACATGGCCAGGGGCTATCATAATGCGCAACCCAGCTATTTGCTACAATAAATTAATAGAACTCTTTGGCCAGGGATTTAGCTCAGTGGTTTCGCCGCCAGCTGCGCAAGCACAAGGACCCGGAGTTTGATTCCCGGTACCAAAAAAAAAAAAAAAAAGTAGAGGTCTTGTGCAGAATGCCCTGAAATGAAATTATTTACACCAATTCTAAATAAATATGGGAGCTGGATGTAGTGGCACATGCTTATAAATCGCAGCATTTGGGAGGATCACCATGAGTTCAAGGCCAGCCTGAACTACATGGCAAGATCCTGTCAATACATACATACATACATATATGTATGTCCTCTATCAAATAAATTGTACCCATAGAAAACAAAATAAACTCTGTGGAAAAACTGCTCAAAGGTGCATTAAGATACACTAAGCCTACTCTTTTTCCTTCTCCAGGACAAAAGAAGCTTTAGCAAGGAAATGACAGGGCAACCAAATGGCAAATGTATCTGAGGCAGATACTTTCCCTGAATGTCAACAAGGACACTGTACCTTGAGACTAACATTGCACAGTAAAAGAAATAAAGACGGTTATTTTTAAAAATTCTTATTCAACATCTTCTAACTGATCCTTTCTGAAAACTGCAGAATTACTCATAACTTTTTGAAGACAGCACAAGTAGGACTCCTACTGGGTAACTGATACCAGTCATCAGGAACAGAGTGCTTAGTCTCTCCCCAAATCTAGCGACTACATGATGGTATGTAATTTATGGGCCATAATATGGCAGAGGCCCCGCAAAAGGCCAAAGTTGGCTTCAGCCATCTCTCTGTATCATTAAGATATTTAAATTTACACTCCCTAAACTTTTATTTACCATGTTAATTCCATTTTAAAATCTTAGCTATATCACAGAGTCCTTAAAACTTAATTTTAATATAATCTAAGCTTTGAAAAACCATCTCCCTCAACCAATAAAAATAAAGGTTGGGCAAAGTGTTGCCAGCACTCCAGAGGCTGAAGCAAGAGGACTGCTTGAGCCCAGGAGTTTGAAACCAGCCTGGACAACACATAATGAGACCCCACCTAAAACAAAAAACAAAAACATCCTTACATTATAAAGCTAATTGAAAATAAAAATGAGTAACATTGGTTTTCTCTGAAAATGGCTATTGAGTTAAAGTCAGGAGTGAGGGAGAGGTATTTTAACTAAATGTTTCCCTTTTTATCACTTGTAAATAGTTTACAAAAGACTAAAAGAATGCAACCTAATTATCAGAGTGAAGCTGAAAAATTACATATGAAATTTTCTATCAACAAATCACTGAAAATGTTAAATAATAATAAATTATTAAACACTGATTACAGGCAAAGTCTTACAGTGACTTTGTCATTCACAAATAACAAATGAGATTAATAAAGACACAAGGTTAACATGCCAGATATAAAAAATATTTGCATGTGCAAGTTAGAACATTTCCTAATGGCTTTGAAAGATATATAACCCTAATCAAAATAAATTCTCTTCACTTTAAAAGTTTTACTTGAAGTATATTTTCTACTTTTAAAAACAATTGCTTACTTCAATAGAGGATATAACGTCAGATTTATGAATAAAAGGCATAGATATAAATTTATAAGTACAATGATGTTTGCTAAAAAGTCTTTTTTTCTAAAAATAACCATTTTTTTTTTTTTTTTCTTTTGGTACCGGGGATTGAACTCGGGTCCTTCCACTTGCGAGGCAGGTGGCGGAACCACTGAGCTAAATCCCCTGCCCTAAAAATAACCATTTTAAGAGAATCCATTCTCTTGTACTTTATTGTGTGGGGTAAACTTCTATAGCTTAAAAATTGTCAGTCATCAGACTCTTAGGACCTCTCAGATCCTCCTCATATCACTGCCTTGACAGTATTTCACTCAAATAGCTAGGAAAGTAAATGGCTTAAATATAAATAGTATGATTCGTTCTTTAGGGACAGACCTCCAGTTCATACAGAAGAAGAAAATGGTTAAGTCTGGGAAACTACTGAGGAGCTTGGTCTGTGATAGTCTCATTTGATTCTTCAGCAGAATTAAGATTTACATGATGTAAACATGTAGAAAGACCCTTTTCCCCAACTTGCACTGTATCAATATTTTTCAAGAAAACAGGGTGTATTTGTGTCTGTGTGTATGTATGTGAAAGAGATACTGAGGATTTAACCTAGAGCCTCATGTACTCTACCACTGTATATTTCCAGCCCCAAAACAAATATATTTAATATAACAATTATCCACAATAAAAAAGCTCCTTATAGTTTTTCTTAATAGAATAAGAGAAAATGTGAGCTAAGCATTTCCCAAGTATGAAATAAGAGAAAATTCCATTAATTCTCTGAAATCTTTGATATTCTCAAAGTAATTATTTCCTTTTACTGCACTTAATAATTTTCTAGTTTTATTCTTGCTGTTGTATCAACCTGAAGAAAAATCACTGAGTGCTCATATTATCTCTTATAAACAAACACACAGAAAAGGGGCTGAGGAAGTAGCTCAGTGGGAGAGTGTTTGCCTAGTATGCATGAGGCCCTGGAGTCCATCCCCAACAATAAAAAGAAAAAGAAAAAAAAAAAAACCCAGCCCTGCATAGAGGTATACACCTCTAATTTTAGCACTCTGGGAGGCTAAGGCAGGAAGATAATAAACTCAAGCCCAGCAACTTAGTGAGACTCTGTATCAAAATTTTGTTTTTGTTTTTGTTTGTTTGTTTGTTTGTACCAGGGACTGAACTCGGGTCCTTGAGCTTGCGAGGCAGGGGAAGAAACCACTGAGCTAAATCCCCAGCTTGTTTTTGTTTTTATGTGACAGGGTTTCACTGTGCAGTTCAGGGTGGCCTTGAATTCACTGTGTAGCCCAGGCTGTCCCTGAACTCATTGCGATCCTCCTGTCTCAGCCTCCCAAGTGCTGGGATTACAGGGTTGCACCACCATGCTAGGCTCTAAACTTTAAAAAAAATTATGAAAGTGTTGGGTATGCAGCTCAGTGTGAAAGCCCCAGATTCAATCCCCAGGACTTCAACTGCAACAAAAAGAAAAAGAAAAATTGAAAAAGTGATGAGTGACTGAACAGAAGGTTGGAATACAATAATGGAACCATTTTCAGGCCATTGAGATCTCATTACCAGCTTTAATTCTGAGCCTGATTTAATGTATCTTAAAACAAGCAGATTCAACACCACAACACAGAATCAAAAACAGCACAGAAGAAGGAAGGCAGGCTGGCTTCCTCAGGGGGAAAGAAGACAGGAAAGAGGAAGCTAAAAGAATTAAGGTGCATTACGTTCCATGTACCAACTCCCCATGATGAGTATAATCATTATGTACTACACATATGTACTAATAAAATTTTTTAAAAATTTATCTTTTCAAAGGTATTGGTATAGAGCCAGTATTTAATTAGTTTTGTACTCAACATTAGTATACACATATAAGAATCGCTTCTCGGCCTTTTGGCTAAGATCAAGTGTAGTGTACACATATAATAAACCTTTGTTCCTCTAGAAACATGAATTCACAAAGTTGGCTGGTGTCACAGCCTCCAAGAAGCCTTCCACAATTACTTGTCCCAAATCAGCAGAGCTGCCAGTTGCAGCACTGGGCCTCCCTGCACAGGTGCGAGCAGTCAGAATACCACCATCGACACAACTTACTGCTCTCCTCCGTCTGTCTCTCCAACTAAGGCATGCGAACTCACCAAAAGCAGGCAGCATGTCCTGCTCAACCTTGCAGTAGGGCTGCCACACAGAAGTTACTCAATACTACTTTTAAATGTTCTAAAATTAAAACTTTACTAGTTGTTCCAAAATAGTTCAGAAATTTCTCTGGTATTCATTCTTATGTCTTGTTCTTGCTAACTCATGATTTGTTAGTCTCTCTAAAACCTGGATCAATTTATAGTAGATCTCCTAACCGACCTCAACTAAGTTACTCAATTAACAAATACTCACTATTATAGCATGCTAAGTTGCTTCACTGGGAGCCTTACATCCCTGGCAATTTTGCAAAACATTTAATGGACTTCATTTAAAGAAACTCACAGATCATTAATGGACAAAAACATGAATCAATTCACACTGTGGTATTCAAGTCCGAACACTTTTGGACAGCATCAAGTACCAAGTTTTTGAAGATCATAGCCTACCATCATTACGCATTCAAGATTTGAATTTGAATAACCTCATCAAAACTTAGATCTTCTCCAAAAGCTTCACATCTCATCTACAAGCTCTCCATTGAACCCTTTCACCAAAGTAAAAGCTTAAGAGGGACTGAAATCCACTAATACATTCCATTTCATATCCCTTCATCTGACTTTTCAATTTCCTTGGCCTTTAGCATATTTCATATTACTTGTGCTACTTGTAGCCACAGAAAGAATACTTTCCAAAAATTACATGATTTGTGGCCATGAGTTTTCATGTTAGAGAAGCATAAACTTAACATAAGTTTACAGCTAGGTTTTTGGTTATATCCTATCAAAGCAAAACCAATAATAAGAAAACGAGGAAAAAGTAGTAAAAATACTTAAGGTCAGATTAGACTCAGAAGGTATGTGGCTTATCAAAAATAGCCCTCAACCTAAAAGTTGACATTTTTCTATCTCTGCCTCTTAGTAGTTATGTGATAACTGAGAAAGTCATTTAAACTCTCTGAAGCTTAACCTCATTATCTGTGAGATGAATCTGATAATATTTCCATACTACCTCACAGGGCTGTTGTGAGGATCAAATGAAATACTGTACACAAATAAGAGTTCTATGTAAAAGAGCATCCTGTTATGCAGCTGTAAGTCATTCCCCTAGCTCCTGGGCCTGGACTCTAGCAGATTAAAGCACACTGAAAGCATGTACCAGACTGGAAACAAGCTAATAAGGCTATGTTAATGTTTTTCTCCTCTGAGTATATAAACACTATCATAAGGTAATTCTAAGAAGGAAGAGCACTATATTATAATTTCCCTAATTATAAATTAGCATTGAATCACTTCTCGGCCTTTTGGCTAAGATCAAGTGTAAATTAGCATTGATAATCTCTGAAAAAGTTAAGGGTTATAATATTAGTGGTTTGCTAAATTTGTTTACTGATTTGTGACTGGTAATTTTTTGAGTGAAAGAAAACAAAGCAGAATATTTTGTAATGCATCCCACACAGTAAGAGTAAATACTGTTTTACTCATATATATGTACAAATATACATATTTGGTCATTAAAGTGATTTTTTTTCCCCCTGTGAGTTCTAAGAAGAAAAAAAAATGCTGAACACTTACCCTGGTGAAAACTCCAGAAAGCCCACTTATTCTGCTCTTCTCAGTTGAACTACAAAGTTAGCAACAGTCAGCTCTGTCTGTTCTTAATCCTACTACTTTTGTTAGCAAAATAACACAATTAAATATTTTATGTAAACTAATTAAATGAGTACAAAGAGAGTAGGTTGTTCTGCCTACCAAAAAAAAATAAACTGACTGAAAAACTCAAAAAGGTGAGAGGCTAAAACCAACTGAGCCTAAACTGGGTGTGGGTCAGACAACTCTAAAACACGTGGGAAGATCATAAAAGCCTCTGGAGTTTTCTGTACTCAAATGAAAGAGGAATTATAAACAATTTATTCTGTGTGATTTAGAAAGGATGATAGCTCAGATCTCCAAACAGAGAAACAAAAGGCTTTGTTCTTCATTTGAGAAAACAAAAACTGGGTAAATAACTTTCATATGTCTTAAATTAAAATGCTTTAGAAATTTTTTGTTTTTTGTCTTTGAAGGGTTTTTTGTTATTTTGTTTTGTGGTACTTGGGACTGAACCCAGGGCTATGTGCCACAAGAGCTTTACCACTGACCTGTATCGTTGGCCCAACTAGCCCACCTTTATAAATTCTGAAGCAAGGTTTAGCTAGTTGTCTACATTGGCCTTGAACTCATGATCCTCCTGCCTCAATCTCCAAAGTAGCTGTGATTACAGGCAACCACCACTGAACCCAGACAGAAATGCCTTCCATCCTTCTTTCCTTTTTATTTTGAGACAGGGTCTCGCTCGCTATAGTTTAGACTGGCCTTGAACTCACTTGAACTCACTATGTAGCCCAGGTTGGGCTCGAACTTGTTGAGATCCTCTTACCTCAGCCTCTTGAGTACTGTGATTATAGGTGTACACTACCACTCTGGGCATGATTTCTTGCTTTAATATAAATTTTCAATGAACTGGCAAACTTGTTCCTGGTTGCAACAGATAAAGAGATAGATACTATATGTATGTATGTATTTATGTATTTTTTATTTTTTTGCAACAGGATCTCACTATGTAGTTCAGGTTGGCCTTGAACTCACTATATAGCCCAGGTTGGCCACAAATACTCTGCAATCCTCCTCGGCTGGATTATAGGCATATGCCACCATGCCTGGCTTCTTTTACTGTATTTAATATTTTTTTTCTTTTCCAGTACTGGGGATGGAACTCAGGACCTTGTGCTTGAGAGGCAGGCGCAATGCCACTGAACTAAATCCCTGGCTCTTGTATTTAATATTTTATGAGAAAAAAAATTATCTTTAAATAAAAGATTTTTAAAATTTCCCTTATTATTATTTACTACCCTTTGCTACTTTGTTTTTTTTTTGTTACCGGAGATCGAACTCAGGTCCTTGCGCTTGCGCAGCAGGTGGCGAAAGCAATGAGCTAAATCCCCGGCCCTGCTACTTTGTTTATTCCATTTCTTAATATAGTTCCATCCTTAACCTAAATAACTAGAAAAATACCAACATGATATCTGCTGTACACCATCTCTTGGTGCCATATTTCCAACAGATTTACCTAGAACACACTCCGTACAAGTACTACTACTGTATTATGAAAAGGAAATTGTTTCTCAATTTTACAGCTAATAAGCAAGTTAAAAATCAGTGATATCTTCACAAAACTGAAATATAAACCACTTTTTCAAACACACACGTGATCTGATTTCTAAGCTTTCATATGCTAGCTGGATGCAGCAGCATGTGCCTGTCTCAGTTACTCAGGTGCCAAAAGCAGAAAATCTCAAGTTTGAGGCCAGCTTCAACAACAAAGAGGCTTCATCTCCATTTAAAAAAAAAAAAGCTATATATTTGCAAATGTTAAGTACTGAACATTTTAACCACCCACCACCACCATTACTGTAACAACAACAACAACAACAACAAAAGCCTAAAGAGGAAGGGCAGCATAATGCTGCAATCAAATGTAAGTATCAAAGCATTTTTACCTTCCGATTCTGATCATAAGCAGAATCAATCCCCAAAATGCTATTCACTTCTAAATATGGATATTTCTTCTCCAGGACACTGACCACATGTTCAACTTTCACTTTGTCTCCAGTTTTCACCTTGTTATAGACCTGAAGAAAGAAAATCGGTAACCAACTACACTTTAAAAACCAAATTCTAAATATTCATCATGAAAAGTTTCTGAATGGAGAAAAAGTGAAATAATACATTGCATTAGCAATGGTCCTTTTCCTAAATCTCATTAAGATGCTTTCTTCCTTTTTTTTTTGTTTCGGGTACCGGGAATAAAACTGGGGTCCTTGTGCTTGCGCAGCAGGCGGCGAAACCACTGAGCTAAATCCCTGGCTCTGATGCTTTCTTAAATTAGAAATCAAATATTCTTAAAATGATCCTAGAAAAACAATTAAGATATGGTGGGCCCCGGATTTAGCTCAGTGGTTCTGCTGCCTGCATCGCAAGTGCAAGGACCTGAGTTTGATTCCCAGTACGAAAATAAAAAATTAAAATGTGTTATGTGCATGTAACAACTCTCCACAAGGAATGTAGAAGTTACGTACTGCAAATATGTACTAATAAAACATAAAATGACCCCCAAAATTAAAAAGACCCAATCAATTCACAATCACGGTTAAATCACAAACACAAAATGCATTAAGAAAAATCTAAATACTGAAAAGTAATCATTGAAGAATGCATGTCCATGATGTTTATTTAGGGTGAAAAAAGTTGCAAAATCCTTATTTGTAACAAATCAAAAACAAATAAAATTGTGCCCATATATGTACAGATCAACCTCTAGAACAATCCAAGGCAACCTGTTCATGATGCCCACTTTTAAGGAGAATCAGGGAAAGGAGAGAAGTGAGGCAGAGAAATTTAATATTATTTAAACTTTCTACAGTGAGTACTTTTGTAATTAAAAAAAATCTATTTTATCTTTTCCTTCATACATATGTCTAGGAGAGGGAAAAAGCTATAAAAAGCAGCCTTTATTTACTTATGATGTTGAGTAATTTCTTTTGGACTTATTTCATTCTCCACGGTCTCACTAACTTCCTCATTATTTTTCATGGAGGTGACTGCAGCAGTTCATTAACTAGACTCTCCGCCACTCCATCCTTCATCAGACCCATCTCCATGCACTGCACAGAATGAGCCTGCACACTGGCTGCCCAGCCTCCAGTGGCCTCCAGGACTAGCTTCTCCTCCCATTCTGCTCCCACCATGCCCTGTTCACACCACACTAGCAACTTGCCAATCTGACTGGCAGCCTGTGAAAGTGACTTCCACTCTCCTCCTGGACTATGGCTGTACAACTCTGCACTCCACAGAAAGGCCCACAGCCATGCCCAGGTGAAATAAAGGTATTGTGCCACAAGGCCAGCTGTGTTCTTTTCCACACTGCATGACAACGTCTGTGAACATGTGCCCTGTGAGGCTGCAAGGTCTCAGAGGACAGGGGTGAAGCCTTACTATTCTTTGTATTCCCCACAGCTGAGACCACACCTGGCACAAGGTGGGCCTTTGAGAAAAGTTTACCAGATAAATAAACATTTTAACTAACAAAAGATGCTCCAAACAAATCTCCAAACAGTAAGCAGAACATAAATGTAAACCACAGACCAACATCATCTTTATGGGTAAAGTGGCAAAATTGATTACTTTACACATTTTTTTTTTTTTTTTTGGTACCGGGGATCAAACTTGGGTCCTTGCGCTTGCGTAGCAGGCAGCGAAACCACTGAGCTAAATCCCTGGCCCAACTTTACACATTTTTTTAAAGTTACCATTAATCTAGGTCAGGGATTTAGCTCAGAGGTACCACGCCTGCCTCCCAAGTGCAAGGTCCTAAATTCAATTCCCAGTACCAGAAAAAAATAAAAAATTAAGTTATCATTAATCTGAAAACAAAAGAACTGATACATGTAAAGTTTTCTAGTAAAAAGAAAATAAAGAGAATTCTGAACTTGAGCAAGTAAATGCCTTAAATATATGCACAAATGAGGCATTTCAGAGTTTCCAGTTAAAGAAACCAGAATATCAGTCATTAAGAATTTTACGATGAATATTAAACTATGTCCTAGTTCCTAAGGAACCTCATCTTAGCTGAAATCACATCAATCTATTATTTTTTTGTTTTGGTTTGGTTTTTTTGGTACTAGGAATCAAACTCAGATTCTCTCTCTTGCCAGGCAGGTGCTGTGCTGCTGAGCTACATTCCCAGCCCGCAACAGTCTACTATTAATGTCAATGAAGTGATAAAGTAGAGATAACCTGTAAAATCCAAACTATAAAGAGTTTACACAAATATTTTTTTCTCTGCAGAAATACAGAAGCCTCTTACCATATATTCTGTTTTAGAGTAAGTTAATTTTTTTTTTTAAATTGCCATTTTGAATAAAAACATACACGTGTCAGAGTTTGGAAGGCATGATACTCATCCATATCCTGGACCACGTAATTATACGCTCTGAGAACAGCCACTCCAGCGTCCTGCATGCCATCAACATCTTCAGAGTCATTAACCACAAAGATAAAACCAATTCTGGAAAGAAAGCAGAAAGAAGAAAAAGAAACATCTCAAGAGTGCACCCAGCTGAAGAGAATGGCATTCCTATATACCCCTTTTGACTGGAGCTAAAGGAAGAAAACTACCCCTAAGTGCAAAGTACACGACACATCCTCTCAAATACGGTTGCACAAGTATACACGTGTCACTTATAAAATGAAAAAGCAGATTCTCAATGTGGCTGAGGCTTTTCTATGGTTAAAATATCCTATTTCCATGTCATGAAAAGATTCCTTTACTGACATGAAAGATGTTCCTACAGTTTTAGGTGTAAATTTTGTTCTACTTTTAAATAAATATTAAGGGAAATGAAAACATTCAGACTTAAAAATAAATAGAAAAGAAGGAATTGTGACATTAACAATAGCAAGAAGAATTATAGGTAACAGGAAAGCAGAAAAAATAATTGGCCTACAGCAAAAAGCCATAGCCAGGGGTAAAGTTCATTTAATTTTAAAATTTAAAATTAAAAAACCACAAAAAGATGCCATTATACATTTATAGATGGGTTGCCAAAAAGACTTGCGCTGGGCAATATGGAAGACCCTAGCTCCTGGCCTCCTACTGAAGCAAAACAATATAGTGGAAAAAGGATGGCCTTTTCAACAAACAGTGCTAGAGCAACTAGATATCCACATGCAAAATAATGAGTCTACATAGACTGTACACCCTCCACAAAAACTAACTCAAATGGATCATAAACTTAAGTGCAATACACCAAACTATAAAACTCCTGGGGTTCAACAGAGAAGATGGTAATCTTGGGTTTGGCAATGACACATTAAATCCAAAGCCAGGGTCTATGAAAGAAGTGATTTGTAAGTTGGACTTTATTAACATTAAAAATTTCTACTTTGCAAAAACACTCATCTGATAAAGGACTGGTATCTAAAACATAAACACTCTTAAAAACTTGACATTAAGAAAACAACCAAATTTTAATATAAGCAAAAGATCTGATCAGGCACTTCTCCAAATAAAACATACACATGTCAGGGCCGGGGATTTGGCTCAGTGGCACCCATGCCTGCCTCACAAGTGCAAGGTCCTGAGTTCAAACCCCAGTACCAAAAAGAAAAAATACACATGTCAAATATGCATATAAAAAGATGCTTGGACATCCTACGTCATTACAGAATTACAAATTAAAACAATGACATATCAGTACACATTTATTAGAATGGCTAGATACCAAAACCCTGGTGACATCAAATGCTGATGAGGATGTGCAAACGACAGGAACTCTCTTTCAGTGGTAGTGGAAAAGCAAAATGGCCTGGCCCCTTTAAAAGACAGTATGATTTTCTGACAAAGCCAAGCATCAGTTGTCACACAATCCAGCAGTCTGGCTCCTTGGTATATACCCAATAGAACTGAAAAATTTACATACACAGAAAAGTCTGCACACATATTTTTAAGAAGCTTTATTCATAACTGCTCAAATTTGGAAGCAACCAGATGTCTTTCAATAGGCAAAAAGATAGCCGGGGAATTAGCTCAATGGTATGGCCGCCTGCCTCTCAAGTGCAAGGTCCTGAGTTCGATCCCCAGTAGCAAAAAACCCCAAGACCAATAGGCAAAAGGATAAACTGTGGTATATCTCTATAATGAAATATTACTCAGTAATAAAAAGAAGTTAGGTTATCAAGCCTAAAAAAGACATGGAGAAACCCTAAATGCACACTGCTAAGTAAAAGAATTAAGTCTGAAAAAGCTACATACTGTATGACTGCAACTGTATGATATTCTGGAACTATAAAGACAGTTTAAAAAATCAATAGTTGCCAAGGGCCTGGGGCTAATAGAGGGAGGAGGGACAAATAGAGGTAGGGCACAGGGGACTTTTGAGGGCACTAGATCTAACCTGTAAGATAGCGTAATATGGATATTTGACTTTATCTATCAAAACCCACAGCAGGTGCAACACCATCACTGCATCCTAATGGACACTATGGAGCTTAGTAAACATGTATCAATACAAGTGAATCAAATGGCTCTAAAAATGTGGTCTACTAATTTAAACAAAGAAAATATAAACACATATATCAAACATCACATTGTTAATACTGTTTGGTTCTGATGAGGTGTGCATATATGTGGGTGGAGGTGAAGTGAGCATTTATATTTGAGTGAAAATTGTCTTTGTTTTTTTAAAATCCCATTTGTGATAACAATCATGAGTAGAAAAAGAACTCTAAATATTCTTATGTAAATCAACATGGGGTATCACCTAATTAAATCATAACAATATTACCTGTTCACAAACTAATTTCTCTGCCCCAGGTTTCTAATTTGTAGAAAGGGCATCAGACTTTTCCAATGGCTAAGACAGAAAGTTCAGACGCCTGTGTCCCCTGGGCCTCACTGTGGAATACCACTGTGGGGTCCCTCAGACCGGGCCTCCTCTGCACAGCCATGCCAACAGCTAGTGCATGCCCACAGCCATGCACAGCAATCCTCAGCCCACCCCTAGCCCCAGCTGCTCACAGCATGCCTCTCTGGCTGAGGGCTCCAGTGCAATCTAAACCCACACACCCTCTTCTCGTTCCCCAGTACCAGTTAATAAAAATTTCACTATTGCCCACTCCCTACCATGAGTTGACTTTTGCACTCTTAGATTTCTCCTTTATTCAAAACACAGCTCTAAATATAGCTCAGTAATTTATTCCTCCACCTGGTTAAGTGACATCCATCCTTTGCATGAAGCAATTTCGCTAAACTCAAAATTTCTGCTTCTCCAGCATCAATATCCTCTATTTTATTCAAAGCCTCTCTGAAATCCAACTTCATGAAAGCTGTGCTTCCCAAATATCTCAGTTCATAGTTGTGGGACTGCATGGGGGTGGGGGTTGTTGTTGTTTATTTGACTTGAGACAGGGTCTCACTGTGTAGTTCAGACTGGCCTTAAACTCACTATGTAGCCTACGGTGGCCTCTAACTCACAGTGATCCTCCTACCTCAGGCCAGCCTCCCAAGTGCTAGGATAAGAGGCATGCACCACCATGCCCAGTCCTCTGTTTATAGTTTATCTCCTTGAATTCTAAAGCACTTATAGTTAGTTGGACATAATTAACACTTGGTCAAACATCTCTTTTTTCCTCCAGTATTAGAGACTGAACCCAGGGCCTTTACAGTGAGCTACATCTCCAGCCTTTTTAATTTTTTTTAAATTTTGAGACACACTCTACCTAAGTTGCAAAGTTGCACGGGATAAACTCAAACTTTTGACCCTCCTGCCTTAGCCTCCCCAGTCAAACATCTTTTTAAAGTGTTTAAAAGTATGCAGAAGACTTCTTCCAACAAGGCAGGAATATAGTTCATATAACAGCCATAGCATTTGGCTTAGTACTGGACATGGAACACACAGTAATATTTGTTGGCTAAAGAGTTCTTTTTTTTTAATTTCTAAAAATTCCAAATTCATCAATGTAAAATTACCAGAATTATCTGAGAAAGTAAGTGAAAGTATCTTAACACTTACATGTAAAACCTTAAGAAAATTGTTATTGAAAGAATAGTGGACCCAATGAATTAGTGTCCTCTTGCTAGATTTGACAACAGAACTGAAATAAACAGTGTGTAAATCTAGTCCTTGACAGTCTAACAACAGCTATTGATAAAGCCGTGTATCGCTGCTGAAAGTGGGAACAGGCTCTGTGATGGGGACACTCACCTAGGAAAATTCTCTTCCACTAAGATGCAAGCTGAAACCACAAACTACTTTTACACAGGCTACTTATTAATAATTCAATGGGGGTAAACCTCTCTTCATTGAGAATAAACTCCCAGTCTCAAAAGACACTGGCTTCATACCAAGCAAAAGATAAAACTGCCGTTAATGATCCCTACTATTAATTATCCTGCAATTCAGTAGCACCAGACTTGTACTGCAGAATAACAAACAAAACCTCAGCTAAATTAGCTATATCATCGAATCAATACTAGTGTTACCTTAGAGGTATATGATTACTGAGGAACATCTCAGCTGTGTTAATCAACTCTGCTGTATTCTCATGTGCAGGATCAACTATGAACACCTAGGGGGAGAAAGGGAGAAGAACCCATGAAATGACATTTATTCAAATGCCCCTGGGCCAAAAGAAATTGCCATGAAGCACTGTACATGAAGCCAACATTTTTCTATTTTAAAACACATAAAACAAGAGTTACACAAATAGCATTTGTCTTCCTCTATGTTCAAAGAATGTGCTACTGGAGGGCAAAGTGATTTTTCTCTTGGACTTAGGCTGGTAATATGGAAACAGAATTACAGATTTCTGACACCTATTCTTTTACTACACCAAACAAAAAGTTTTATCAACTCACCTACCTTCGAAAATGAAGACTGCCTTACTGTCTTTTTATATTTTCATTTCTAAGGACCCCCTGTACCAACAGGGAGCATTTTACGGGTGGAAGTGATCAGGGGAAACAGCTAGTAAAGGACAGAAGTGAACACGGACACAGAGGGAGCAAGGGAGAAGCAAGGTTCACAGGCTGGCAGCGAGGAGTCACTCACCATGTTGTGCAAGTTCTTCCTGATCTGCCTGATGACACCAGGAAAGGTGGGGCGCAGCAACTCTTGTAGACTGGAAGGCCAGGAGTTATATCTGCTATCAACTTCCAGGTTGTTGACCCACTAAAAAGAAAGAACACAGCATGGTCATGCACCACCTTAGTCAAATTCACTGAAATCTGTGGTAAAAGCAGTATGAGCAAATTATCTTACAAGGAGTCATGAGACAGGACCATTTTTAAAGGTACAGAGACTGAGTAGAAAAATGAGTGACTACATGGGCCGGGAATCTAGCTCAGTGGTTTCGCCACCTGCCTTGCAAGCGGAAGGACCCAAGTTCGATCTCCAGTACCAAAAAAAAAAAGAAAGTAAAATGAGTGACTACAATACAAACCACAGAATAGGTAATGTTATTTGCAACCAAACAAAACCAATAAAAAATCAGAAAATACCAATAAATCTGAGATAAAATGATTATTTAGAATGTATGATGACACGGTTTTTAATCAATTTATTCTAACAAACTAATGTCACATTTATGATGTTATCCATACTCTTTATAAGTAAAACCATTTTTAATAGGAAAATGAATAACTTAACAGTGTTCATCAAAATACACAAAGAACTCCAGTAATGATCACCTACATTCTACATTATTTCTCGCTCAGTAAAATCCTAGTTGCTAGCTACATCAGTTCTGTCCTTTTCTCTTTTTACCATGACTGCCACGATGGCACTGTATCCACATTGTTTTATAGATGAAGAAGGTTCAAAATGAATTATGGCCAGGGATTTAGCTCAGTGGTCCCACCGCCTGCCTCGCAAGCACAAGGACCCAAGTTGGATTCCTGTTACCAAAAATAAAAAAATTTTAAAACACCCCAATAGTCCAAAATGAATTGTGTAAACAGAACTCCTAAAAAAAAAAAACTCAGAGAGATCATATAGCAGGTAATAACTAAAGTCCTAGTAAAAAAAAGGTTATTAACTAAAAACTTCCATTTTTAATAGCAGGTCTGAATCACAAATGCCACAAAATCATCCAAGACCTGTATGGAACTGGGAAAACACTAAATACTCTTTCCTAAGAGGTACTCAGCTGAATCCTACAGCAGAGGAAAAATCATTGTCTTAACCATAGTAGCCAAACAACTCAACTTTTTGGAGCATTTAGGACACTACTTTATTAAATACACAAAGTACCACATAAGCAGTTATGAATCTTGATGGCAATGAAAGAGATGGTGGGAATAACTTAACTCTCATAAAAGACAAATTAGAGAGGTACAATAAAGATGTCTGGAGAGAATGGCCTTTGCCCACCCCCCTGTCAATACTCACTGAAATAGCTGGACTCCTGATGTCAATGGCATATTCAGCCTCAGAGGGCTGAATGTTCAGCTTCAAAATATTATGCAGAGAAAGGCCTTCTATTCTTAGTCTATGAAGACCCTCCATGACCCGGGCTTCATTCCTCAACACATCAAACAGACTAGGGGAAAAAACAGTAACAGACAGACAGCAGAAAAACTTTTTAAAAATTCCTTGCCATGAAAAACACTATTAATTAAAACTCAATGCTAAGTCAGACTGAGAAAGCAAAAAAGGAAGTGCTGTTTCATCTCATGAAGGTACACAAGACAGAGGACATGCTTCTGGTTCTTAGTTATACTTTTCAGTTATTGGTAGGGAGGGACAGGGGAGAGAAGGGGAGGAGGGGAGAGAAGGGGAGGAGGAGAGAGGGAGGGAGGGAAAAAATACAGAGATTAATTGTGCTGCTTTTAAAAGCACAAAGTAGGGCCAGGGATGTAGCTCAGTGGTTCCGGCGCCTGCCTCGCAAGCGGAAGGACCCGAATTCGACCCCCGGTACCAAAAGAATAAAATAAAATAAAAAATAAAAGCACGAAGTATAGGGCCAAAGATTTAGCTCAGTAGTGCTGTGCCTGCCTGGCAAGCGCAAGGTCCTGAGTTCTGTCACCGGTTCCGCAAAAAAGAAAAAAAGCATGAAGTGTAAAATGTGAATTTATGATCTCTCCCCGCCCCGCCTCCAGTACTGAGGATTGAAGAACCCAGGGCCTTCATACTGAGCTACATCCCTAGCCTTTTTTATTTTTTATTTTGAGACAGGGTCTAAGTTGCTAAATTGCTCAGGCTGGGCTCAAATTTAAGATCTTCCTGCTTCAGCCTTACGGAATGATGAGATTATGAGACTACAGGCATGCTCCATCACTGTAGCATTTCTTACAACTGTATGTGAATCTCCACTTGATGTTACCCAAAAGGCCAAGAAGCGATTGTATGTGAATCTCTACCTCAAAATAAAGTTTAAAAATACACAAAAAAGAAATACTTTATTATTTATGTTTAATATACGCTTCAGTATCAGCATCAACTGGCACAGGCCCACAGAGAAAACTATGGGAAAATGGTTGAGGAGGCAAAAAAGATAAGGAGGATACCTCTATAATGCAACAAATGAGCATAAAACCTTAACAAAAATAATGTGCAATATCCTAGTGACAACTGAGTATTAGCAAAAGCTTTTGTTCTTACTACTGTGAAGCCACAGTATCAATAGTACTGATTTTAAATCCACAGATAAAATCTGAATTCTCAGCCAAGAGTAGTGGTACACACCTGTAATCTTAGCACTTGGGAGGCAAAGGCAGGAGTTTGAGGCCAAGCTGGGCTACATAGCAAGACTTTGTCTCAAAAAACAAACAAACCAAAAAATCTGAATTCTACCTGTCCACACCTCCATCATAAAGACAATTCGGTGCTATTTAGTCTTGATTTTAATTTAGTATTACATTTAAAGAACAAAAAGTACGTCTTCAAATAATAATGCCTGCTGAGACCCCAGAGACAGCATTCTGAATAAACCTACTTCACACTATTTCAGAAGCAGAAGAATCTGCTCTTTTCTATCTATAGTTAACATGAAAACAGCTCTAAAAGGGCACCCCTGAGAAGCCTCAGGCCTTGAGGACAGACTGAAATACAACATGGAATTGGATCATTTGGCCAGCCTCCACATATACATGGTGCCTAGGAAGCCATCAGCCTTTGCCTCCTGCAGCATCAAGGAGGGACAACCATCTGAACGTGCCCCACAAACTTATAAACAGAAAATAAAAATCCATACCTGAATATATCCTGTGTATCTAAATCAATATGAAGTCCATTGATGAAGAGAGCTGAATCTCCAGGCTGTAATCCTAAAGTTCCCTTGAAATACTGAAAAATTTTTTAAAAATTAAAAATTATTAGGAAGTAGTAACTTTCTGTGTTTCTAGGCGTTATTATCTATACAAATCTTGATGATCTATGCCTGGGTCAAAATGTTTTTCTATGTATGCCCCAAACCCTTCTTAGATTTACCACACTTGTTTCCTGTAGCATCAGAGGCGAGTAGATAAGTCAAGGGCTGAGGGTCACTTTTAAAAAAGGGATTGTGAATAATATAGGATTAAGTATACAAATTTTATTCCTATTTAATTTAAAAATATAACAAGTTTCTTCCTGCCCCAAGATACATTAATATACTGTACTCTTTCAGTTTCCTTTGTCAATAATACTTCTCAGAACTATCTGCAAGGAACTGAAACTAGTATTTTTTACCTTAAGCCATGCATTAAGGGAATAGACCTATTTACTTGTTCTTTGCCTTAGGAACAAAGAAAGTTCCTCATAAACAAATAAACTGGCTCACCCCCTTAATACAGTATTGAAGACAGAAGTCAGCTATCTATTAGAGGGGATCCACAATAGGCTTCTCCACTCTATACAGCTACCGAGTTGTACAGGCTCTGGAATTCCCCTTGCCTCCACTCACCAGTGGCAGGCAAAAGGGCACAGGGTTGCTATCCTGGCTTTTTCATACTTCCATTGCTTCCCCTGTTGGTGATGTCAACCAAGGTTGTGGTAGGAGTCAGTAAAAGCTGGAACCCTTGATGAAGTCCAGGAATATAAACCAAAAAAGGATTCAAACTAAGGCACACCAAGAAACTTCTGAGCTGTTGCACTAAAGACAGCACCCAGTGCTACCTAGCTTTGCAAGACCTGGCCTCCATGGAACCCTTCACCTATTGCTCCCCACAGTGGTGGCAGCCCTGCACACAGGTGACCATGCAGCCCCGCGACCTGCCTGAGTCAATGGAAACATCACTCTGATTCCATGTTGAAGCCTTTCTGTTTAATTCTATTAATATTATTAATATTAAATAACCACCTTTCTACTTAATTCTTTCTTCAAAGGAAACAGCAACTATTATTTGTATATTTGAGAAGAGATGAAATTAATCAGATAGCAGGAGCAGTCCATAATCCCTTAAGAACCTAGGACTGGGAAAAGGAAAAGAAGGACTGCCGAGCTCCTTTACTCCCCAGTAGTCAGTGGACTAAGAAAAAAATGTAAGATCTAGTAACGCACAGGGAAAACAAGGAAATGAGGAAGCCATGGCTTCTGCTTCAATGGCAAGGTTACAGGATAACAACAAAATATACACATATTTCAAAACATTACGCTGTATACCATTAAATATTTATCAATTTTTTATTTATCAATTTTAAAAAAGAAGATAATGGAAAGCTGCCTGAACTGAAAACTGGATTTTCTTCCATGACAGGGAAGAACTCCAAACTCACTCAAACTGCTCTGATCTGCTAAATGCATACAGTCATATCATTCCTGGGTCTGGATGCTGGCTGTACAAGTTGGGCTCATTTTGGGAAAATCCAGCACACTAAAGATTTAGGAATTACCCAGGAATAGTGGTGCATGCTTGTAATCCCAATATTGAGTCTGAGCAGGATTGTGAGATTAATGCCAGCCTGGACAAAACTGCAAACCAAGAACCTGTCTCAAAGAAAACAACAATGTTCTGTCTTCCTTGCCTAGGAAGCTCTAAAATTAAAATAATATTGGGTATTTTCTGAAAATTAAAAATTAAATATAAATTATCAATAAAGTTTTGTTCAGTTTAGTGTTTGAAAAACATGTTTATTTCTAAAGTGTATTAACTAATATCTCACACTTAAAGATTAAGGCAATTTGAGGTAAAGATAATGAACTGAACATGAGCATTTTTTTCCCTCTTAAAACTCTACTGATATGTCAAGAAAAGTATTCTTCCAGTTATGAGCCCACAGGCAAAGAGAGCGGAAGGGAAGGGATAACAAATTTCAGCAGCCAGAAGGGAGGGTGGTGAGCTGTAACTCCCAGTAGGCCCAAGGGCAGGAACGGGAAGGAGAAACCAGGTCGCTCTGTGGACTCATCATCCCAGAGAAACAGAGGCTCATGGCCTGGCGTGAAGAACCACCTGGGGGCAGGGACCCCCAGGGAAATTGGGGGACTAAAGGTGTCACCAAGTTGTTCCTCCCCACAAGGCTTCTATAATCCTGGCAGCCAGAATGCACACTCCAGGAAGAAGATTAACAGACCCTTCTGGAGATGGACCAGCCCCTTTGTTGAGTTTTCTTCTAGCTATCAAGTCCTTTATTTCTATTTTTCCTTCCTTCCTTCTTTTCAGACAGGGTCTCACTCTGTTGCTCAGGCTGACCTCAAATTCTTGGGCTCAAGTGGTCCTCCTGCCTCAGCCACCAAAATAGCTGGGAATACAGGTGTGTACCAGCACATCCAAGCTGGCTGTCAATATTCTGTTTTCAAGAGTTTTGTTGCTCTTGGATTTCACAGTGTGGTCACATCTCTCTGAAGGTATCAGTGGTGCTTGTGCTTTCTTCACTCTGCAATGTCTATTTCCTCTGAGCTGCCCTTTTGGGTCTACTGCCATGTCTTCAGTGTCAGAGGCTTTCCTCAGGTACAGCATCTGGTTATCTGCATCTGACTGATCACTGTCAGGTAAGGGCACCAATAAACTGCTCAGGCTGGAAAACCTAAATAACCCAAGGTTCCCCAGGAAATGGCCATATCAGAATGGCCTACCATCAGAAGGCCTCATCCATAAGGCTTCTAATCAGCCTTCTCAAACTAGTAGGATCAATGAAAATGTCCTGATGGTTCCACACAGGAGGAAGAGATCTCACACAAAAGCTTCAGATTTTCCAAAAGCTAAAGGGCAACTCAAGTTCCAAGGAGCAATGCCTTCCATTTCCTAGATGACTCCCAATCTAGGGCTGTACTCCCAGCCAAGCCATCAATAGGAACCCACTTGGAAACTAATGTAACAGTTGCAGATTTACATCCCATGCAACTTTCCTCACAAAGCATAATGTGATGCATCAAAATAAGGGAGCAGGGCCAGGGATTTAGCTCAGTGGTTCTGGCGCCTGCTTCGCAAGCACAAGGTCTTGAGTTTGATCCCTGGTACCAAAAAAAAGAGGGGGGGGGACCTCAAAACAAAGAAGACATGGAATGCAAGAAAGGAGGTTAAACTGGGCCAGGTGGCAAATGCTTAACATGGTAATCCCAGCACTCTGGGAGGCTGAGATAGGAGGATCACAAGTCAATACCAGTCTGGGCAACTTAGTGACTTAATGAGACCTTGTCTCAGATAAATTTAAAAAGGGATGGGATGTAGCTCAGCCAGTAGACACCAGGTTCAATCCCTAGAACTGCAGAAACAAAACAAAATGAAAGCAGGTTTAAGCCAGGTGTGGTGGTGCACACCTGTAATCCCAGTACTCAGGAGGCTGAGGCAAGAGGATCACTGGGAGTTCAAGGCTAGCCTGGGATACATAGTGAATTTAAGGCCAGTCTGAACTACATAGCAAGATGCTGATTCAAAAAAAAAAAAAACCCCGAAAAAAAAACAAAATGAAAGGGGTTAAAAGAAGCCCCTGGAATGCCTGGTATGCACTAAAGCAACCAGTCAAAATTAGAGAGGATCAAAACTGGGTAAGATCACAACACAAAATACAAGGAAGATGAAAAGATGGGACAAGGGCCAATATGAGACAGTGATGAGACACTGAAAGGTCAGCAGTGAGAGAAAGATAAACCTCATCCTCAAAGCAGAAGGCCAAAATGAAAGGTCTGAAACTGAGAAACAGAATACCAAATTACGCATGCTAGAATACTATCAGAGAATCACCTAAGGCTTGAAAGTAGGTGTCTCTAGGAATGGGGACACAATGGGGTAAGATATGTGAGGGGGCTCTTTTTCTAAATCATGTGGTTAGCAGCACCATGTGGAGTTTTTAATTATGTTCATATTCAACTCTTATTAAAAATTAAAAATATAAAAAAACCCAAAAAACTAAAAATACATAGATTACAGAAATGAGCAAAATAATACCAACTTTGATAAAAGTTAACATTACTAAACGTCATATATTAAACACAGATTTCTTCATCTTTAAAAATACTATAATAAAAAATAAATAAAAATACAATAAAAATTGAGTATTTTCCTTTGGTTAATACCTTCTGATTTTCTTCCACTTCAGTTCTAAGTCCTGAACTCACAGCTGTTTTCGTTATCGCTCTATGGGATAAAAATATTATCAGTACATAGTCTAACATTTGAAATAAACGTTTTCTACGTTCCTATTTTTTAAAGTATGAAAGATGTTGTTCAATAAAAGACAACTAGAATGGACAAAACCTCCAACCTTTACAATTGATGTACATATTTTTCCTTACTATAAGACATAATACCAAATAAAAGAAAGATAGGAGTATTTTAAAGCAAATACAGCTGTCTCTTAGTTCTTAGTTGAATACACTAGCCTACTGCTGTGTGTGATCCCTAACACTCAAACACAAAAGGGTAATGTTAAATAAACTAAAGCAGCAAACTTTTCAGCCTCTGTAAGCACTGATGGCAGAGAAAGAATCCTCTTCGTATATCTTAATATGTCAGAAAAAGAACTCTCAGATAGAACTTATAAATCATATGGTTAAAAAAAGTTATTTACAAAGCAACCCATATCAGAAGTCCAAAAACTTCATTCAGTGACTCCAGAAAAAGATTGGCAGTAATTTACATCAACAGTTTCTAAAAACCTGGCTTTTAAAACAATTTGCCTTGCATGTATGAGATATAAATGAAAATTATAAAACAGAAAGCAATGTTAAGAAATTCAACATCTTACTCCATCACTATGAACAAGTCATTTAGCCTGTCTGGCTCTGTTTCTTCAGCAGAAATAATAAGATGATATACGTACAACCCTTCAGGAAACAATGGCCTGTGCCAGACTCTCAATTAGTTATATCAGCATATGCTGAATTTTGTAACTCATCCAATCCTGAAAGGCAGGTATTGCTATTCTACTGCTAAGGGAAATGAGGTCGAGAGATCATTTATTTGCAGATGTTAACATAACTAGTAAGAGGCAGTGTCAAGAGAGCATCACCTGGGTCCGTCTCTTCAACCACACAATGCACAGTCTTGTCCACTTCTTAGAAACAGGACACCATGCACATGAGTAGTGGTGATAAAGCTTTCATTTTCTAAGCATTTTCCTATTTAAAGTACATCATTTAGCAAGTAAACATGAAGATAAATGGATATAATGTTAAACAGAAGAATGTATCAAGGCTTTACTATTACCTGGCTTTGGCAGGAAAATTCTGACTAAGATCCTTCATAACCACCAAAGCTAGCTCTGCAGGAGCAGCCAAGATTCGGGCAGCAGTCTGGAAACTGAGGTCTGTAACAATGCCAAGTGGAGTTTAGAGGGTATTAATCTAACGCAGTGAAAACCAAAAAATATTCAGGCTTCCTTTCCACTACCCTCTTGGTAATAAAGAACTCCTTACAATGCAACCATTCCACAGAGAGTTCATGGTTTAGTTTCAGGTTCATTCACCTCATGGCTCCATAGTGTTCACTGAGCCATTCCTGATCTGGTCACACAAAATGACATATTTAGCAAAGGATAAATTGAGCCCAAACCCTTTTTCCTCTTCTCAATTTAAAATATAACACAAGCCAGGTGTGGTGGTGCACACCTTATTCCCAGCAGTTGGGAAGCTGAGGCAGGAGGATCGCTACTGAGTTTGAGGCCAGCATGGGCTACATAGTGAGTTCAAGGCTGGCCTGAACTACATAGCAAGACCGTGTCTCAAAAAACCAAAAGAAAAAAAATAAATAAAAGAAAGTATCACAAAATATAGCTTAAGTCATTTAGCAAATTATGGTGGAAAATTTTTGATAAATCATTCTTTGGAACAGAAACATACACACACATTCTACTTCTTATATCCCTTCAGCATCCTACAGATACACAGTTTAAGTAACATACATATACAGGAGCATAAGACTAGACGTGTTGCTAGTATTCCACTCATTTATATGTATTACTTCAGCCTAATGTTATTTGTCTTCAAAGTACTTGCTTCTTTTCTCCTCTGATTAATCATAATCACTCTATCTTTAAAATCTGTGATACTCTCATAATCATGCAAATATATCCAAATTTGAATTCTGCATCTCTTAATACCACAAAAAGCAGGCCAATGATCTCTCTATATTTTCATTACCTTGTAATTGCCAAACTTTCAAAGGTGCCATTTCATTGGTGCTCTCCACAAGATGCTTTCTGAGTTCTTTCAATTGTCCAGTCAGCTCAGGGTGCAGGTCTCTGAAAAAAATAAAACAAGTCCTTTTCATTGTCTGTCTTTTTCTCACAGCACACTTAGACAGAAGAGGGCTCTAACTTCATTTTCATGATTTTCTCTCTTAATCCTAGGAAAATTTCATCAGTACAGGCAAAAAAAAAAAAAAATTTCAGTAATTTTCCTCTAAAAATAATATAGACATTGTAAGTTAGTTCAACAACCATAAAATTTACAGATTAAAAGACAAATCACATAACAGAAAAGTCAAAGAGAAATGATTAAAAAATATTGATTTCTCTGCTTCTAAGTAAAAGACTGAAACTATCAGTGATATA